TGCAGTCCTCAAAATTCCTGTTTCAGTAACACTGTTAAAATTCAGGGGCTGTATCCAATCCCAAACAACAAAGTTTATTCCAAACTTCACTTTGTTCAATAGGAAGAGAACCTGTCCCCACACCAAACTGGATTTATTTTGTAGCACATGCGCTTAAGCATGCAATGCATACATTGTGTAGACAGAGAGAACATACCAAAAACATGGAGGTACATGAAGATAATGCATGATAAAGTCTTGTGAAGGTCACAGGCCTTCCAAAATAAACATCAGGATTTTGTTTGGCTTTTCGAAGCGCAAAAATTATTAAATATAAAGCACCTTCTACACTTGGGATCACACTAACTTTTTATGGACCATAAGAAAGGAGTTTGTAACTGATAGAAGTTATCTGGGAAAATGTGCTAGCAAGTGATCCAGAAATACCAATGACTTATGATGCTTAGCACAATTTTCTTACCGAGCTTACAGCTTAGCATGCTGCTGACCACAACATTAGTGATATATTCTCACAGCACAGGAACTTAAAATTCATGTAAAAATGAAGATTATTGGGCTTTTTCAGTGGAAAATAAATGCAAGGGTCATGCATCACACAAAATCCTCAGAAATGGCAAAACAAGAAAATAACAGAATGGGTCCAGCTGTTACTCTTAATAACTTAAGATACAATAGTAAAGTAACTAAGGAGGCTTTTCAAGACAAAAATTACTTGAATTTTATGAACATGACAAATTTGAAACAGAGCTGACAAGCAGTCTGGAATACTAGATGACAGATTGCTGAGAAACATAATTTTCACTTTAATAGAACGGCAGCATGCGCATAATTCTATCCCCCAGTGCTTTTCTGTAACAGCAAATTTAGTCCAAAACTGCAGCCCTGAGAATCTAAATATGAATCTATCACCATAACTGGAATGAGTGCTTCATTTGAAGGGTAAGGATTCTCTGTGCATATTAATTTGTTCAAAACCATCCAGTATTGCTGCATGGGCCCTGGCCAGCATGCATCCCAGCAAAATGCCTGCTCTTGCTCCAGCAGAAGGCAAAGGCAATGTTTTCTTTTGCTTCAGTTGAGACACAAGAAGGACAAAGAGTACCCATATGGTACTTTATTAAGATTACATGTACACTTTCTTGTGCCAGTTAATTCAGGGAGGGGGAGGGGGTGGGGGGGTAAAGGAAGCAAGGGGAGAGAGGGAATTTTTTAGGGGCAAAATCAGTTGCACAGGTTTAGCATTTTATATTTACTAATGAACACCCTGATAAACACATATATATACATATTATATATATAAAATTTTGCTCATCCCTGTGAAAAAAAAGTTGCATATGATAAAGCATTACTTCCAAAAATGCTAAGCTTCAATTAAGTAAAGTTGAAATGAAGTGAAATATTATATTTGACCTTCTTAGGCTGTTGTAAGGAAAAAAACAACTATTTGACCACTCATGAAAGAAAAAAAAAAGAGATAACAAACTCTTTATCAGGCACATGAAGAACAGGAAACTAATAAGACTATATCCTTTGATATGTCTGTCAATAAAATTTTTTTCATCTAAGCTGCATTTGCAGGGGAAAAAGACAATTTACAAATTAGCTGTTTCCAGAATTCACATTTTAAACTTGGGAGCCTGAAAAATTTTGACTACTAAAATGTATGCACATTTAAACCTCAGTGTTCTATCCTAATAGAATTTAAGTGCATATCGTATACATTCCTTAAGTCTACTCTTATTAAATTTTGATGTTAAACAGAAAGGGAAAACCATGTGCAACTAGATTAATTTATCTCCAGGGAGTAAGGACACATTAATAATTGAGATAATGTTTTCATATATGTTGGAATCGAGTGTGCCTTTCCACTTCTTTATTAGAAAACACATTAGCAGAAAATTATCTCATTCTCATCAGTAAGACCTAATTGCTAAAAAAGTCTCTGTTTCTTTGCAATAACAAAAGGATAATTCTCACTACTTCAAAAAAGAAAAAAAAAAAAGGGATCAGAAACATTATCAAGCGCTGCTGGAATAAATGCCTGTATTACCGAAGGGAGTGTTTACTTAATACACCCAGTCCTGTTTTTGTTTTAAACAAATCAAAGTTTATTGTATTTTTATAAAATACAAGCAAACTCTGGTTATAGAAGTGGGCCAAAGGGGAAAAAAAGGACTACAACTGAAATGACTAATATTTTTGGCTTTCTGAAAGACTGATCTTTCTGTAAGTTATAAAAAATTATCTTGGCTGATTGTGAGAGAACTCTGTAATTTCCCATGAACACCCATAGGTGTCAAGGCCTGTTGTGAGGTATTGGAATGGTATGTAATTTACTCTGAGATGTTGTACATTATGCTGTGTGGATCACATACAAAGCAAACATTGAGTGCATAGTGGGAACACTTGTGCAGACAGGCTGAAGCATATTTCCATAGCATTGAACTATACATCAAATGCAATGCTTCTAATGTTTCCCACAACAAAGAGTATTAAAAAAAAAAAGCAACCAAAACAGCAACTATGCTTAAAAGCGTTTGCAATAGCCCTTCTGTTTGCCTGGTGTACACAAAGAATTGCAAACTAAAACAAATATCTATCAACTTTACAGTCTTGAGACTAAAATATTAGAATGCAATTTTTGATACTAAAAACATGAAATTCTCTTCATAAGGTCCATCAAGACCTAATGCTGAACAGCTGATCTGTAGACAGACTTGTATTTGCAGCTGTCTGGGAAATATTGGTGGTAGAGAATTGACTAAAGTCACAACTTTATAAAGGGACTATGATGAGACATTCTTTTATCATTTTTCCATGTAGACTAAATGCATACAGACAATGGAGATATACACTGTCATTTGCTTTTATGTATTTTCACAGATCAGGTTTTGTACACATACTTTCCAATTACTTTCTTTTAATATAGTTTTCTTTATTAAACATTTGGTTTCTGATAGACAAAGTATGTCAAATTGAAAGACAAAACTAATGAGAAACTGCAAAATTTTAGCTAGAGCTTAGAGTATGTGTTTCTTTGATAACAGTTTTTGTCATTAACAGAAATAATTCAAGACCAAGAGCTGCCTAACAATACATTATTAATAAATCAAACTGAATTCTTATTTTTAAGATAATTCAATTAAAGTACATGCATTCATTTTGCTAGTCAACAGGAAGTCTGTGTTGTGTGTTAAGAGCACAAGAGTAATCCCACACAAAAAAACTCAGCTGATAACAACTTACGGCCTGAATCTTGTATATACAATACTACTGTTCTTTATTTCTTCCTTAGTATCTTTTTGGGTTTTGCTTTTGAATTTTTAAAAAAGCCCTAGCTTCTTTCATTGCCTCAGAACAGTTTTTAAGTTAACCTGAAATATGATTAAAAATTCTTGCCTTTTTAAAAAGATATTGTCAAGTTTTGCAACTTTATTTGCATAAAACTGATTCATTTAAAAAATAAATTGATAATGTAAATATTTATGGAAAAATTATCTGACTCCATTTATTTTATCTAAATTTCAGGTTTTTATGTAGTACATGGATCTGGCAATCTCACTTTACTATTATGTATTCTGTTAATTAGAATAGTCTAAACCACAATGCCCTTCTTAATAATTAGAGCCCCCAACATCATTATAAAGTGTTCCATAAAAATATTGGTTTGATAATATACCCCAAAGTACTGTAATTATAATCACTGGACTTTGGTGGGAGCAGATTTAAATCCAAAATATCAATATCTCCTGTACAAGAGAAATTCCAACTCCACTGGAGGCAGCAGCAAAATTCCCAATCATTGCAATTCATCCAGTTCTACTGATCACATTCAGGTGTGATGTGAGATTGATCTTTTTAATGTGAAAATCTGCTTCTTGCCACAATGATGTTTTTGAATAAGTACTTTGAGACAAAGACCCTGATGTGTAGTTTATTATTTGTTTACACCTAGGAAAGCATAGGAGCTCCTACTCTTCCGCACCCAGAAATATCTTTCAAAGATCTATTCACTTTCACTCTACACACACTGAAGACAGCAAAACCACTCTGCATCTCCATAGATTACTCATATTCTGAAGATTTGGATTTGGTCTAGATAAGCAAATACCATAGATCTATGGGCGTGCTTCTACTGACTGTTGCATCAATTTTGAGGCAAGCAGAGACTGAAGCTAGAGAGGACTAAGAAGAACTAAAAAATTACACCTTCCAGTACAAATTAAAGAAGAAATGAATGGCAAAAGGCTAGAAAGAGAGTAAGCTCTTTCTGACACACAAGGATTATAGGTTTTCCCTAACAGTTATCACTGTTACACTCTCTAAGACAGTGACAAATATTTTTTAAAAAAATCAAAACAAAACTACAACCTTGAGATATCTGAAAGTGGCTTCTACAAAGTAAAAGTAAAAAAGTACTGGAAACCTCATTAGGGGAATGCACGGTAGGTACAGGACCAGAGCTGAACTAAACTGAACAAGCACTATGTCCTTCACTCTGCAAAGGGTCAGGCTGTAGAATAGGGTCCTGGGCTTGTTTCAGCAGATTTCTTGGATTGTCTGGGGGCCACAGCAAAGATGCAGCACTCCATCTCAACCCACATGTGCTGCTCTAACATGATGCAGCTAGTGCTGTGACCTGAGACCTCTACCAGCTCTTGTAACTCAGGTCAAAATATAGAAAGCACTGGGTGTTGTAAAAGCTTCAGGCTTCTCTGATGAAGTCTCTCTACTACACATCACAGCACCTGCAACAGTCAGCTCTTCTTTTGCACACCAACTGGGGCTCTGTGCTGTCCACTGGTTTTCTGACTACCTTTATCATAGCAAGGCTTTTGCTTGCACTGGCTACAATTTCAAACCTGCTTACTCGGTTTATTTGAGTTTTGGGTTTGTTAGCTTATTTTCATGGCTAATTCTGGTGCTAGTACTGCATACAATCACTCCATGTTTGCTTCAAAAAGATCAAATTTGACAAGGAAGGAAAGATTATAACTTACTTCCCAGAGATGTTGAGTGTTCCTGATGGCACCTGCTTGAACCTTCTCTGGCAAGAGCAAGATTCCCTGGAAGGGCCCAATCCAGGTGCCCTGCTGGATCCGTTGTGCCGCACAAATGCCATAGGCCAGGCCAGGCACTGTGCTGGTGCACAGACACACTTCCCGGGGCAGGTCCCGGAGCCACTCCGGGATCTCGGGCGGAGGGGCTGCCGCGGCCGCGCTGCTGGTGCCCACCAGCCGGCGCAGGGAGTGCAGGGGCCCGTGCATAGGGCACTCTCCGTTGCGGTTATCAGCACACATGTCACATCCTGAGGGACAAAGAGGGAAAAACACCATCAGAGCGGTGCTGCTGGCCTCCATCATCACCGCTGCCTCTGGCCATACCACGCAGATCCCTGCGCTTGCGCTGCCATTCCATGGCAGTACTCATACACACCGTGCCCTTTTGTGTCTTGCTTAGGCTGGTTTCCCAGATCTCACCAAAGCCCTAAATAAGAAATTCCAAAGGCTGAGCAGAAATCCTGCAGACAATTTGCAAGCCTGGTGTATTCACAAACCTGCCAAGATTCATTTACTTTAACAATGTTTTTAAAGATGAATTTTTTGACTAATATAAATAGCCCAGTTAAACCATCCCAGTGTGTTTAAGTGAGACATTTTAAAACAGAGTCATAGTGCCTTACAAGTCCCCCTCAACTGCCTTACCACAGCTCAGCCCAAGGGCTTAATTGGAACAAGATTTAATTTAATCCTTATTTTAAATGAACGTTCACTCTGCTTTTTACATTAACATGTGTGTGTGCATGCCTGTCTGTTCGGAAAATAAAATAAATAAACCAGAACCTCATGAGTGACAAACTGGAGCCTGCATGCACATTTGCTTTCCTAAAGACAAATCTAAGCTTAAAACTGAAATTATGCAGCAAATATTACTGGTTCCTAGCACACATCTGAGGTTTTATTTATTGAATTAGACTGCATGTTCTTCGGCTGTGACATGTAACTGAAGCTAGGCAAAAAACCCAAAACAGCCTATCTAAGTTTGTGAGCAATTCCTGTGAAAAAGATCAGTTGTAAAACTGTTAATTTCCCTAACTGTTGTTACTAATGAATGATGTGTCTCCATTTTGGGAAGATCCTACCATGACTTTTCTTTTCTGAGCAAAGAAAGTTTTGGTTAAATATTTCCACTGCACACTATTCCACACACCACAAATGTACATCTTCCAGGAAAATGTTTCATGTTCAAGAAATTAATTTCTCTGGAGATATGCTGAGTTAACATAACAATGAATCTCTTGAAATAAGTTGCCATCTTCTTTACGTTTCATTTTTGTAGCACAATAAAGGTTTCCATATAAACTTGTTCCAGAAATACAAAGAAAAACCAATAATTATGGCATAGTATTCTTGTAGCAAGTCCTGCATCTTTCCCCTAATAATTTTATATACCACTCCTTATGAAAACAGAGCACGGCATTCACTACAGAAGCAGGAGTTTCTTGGTCTTTGCCACAGACTTAGACTAGACTGCCTGCAACCACAGTTTCAATCCTCAGGGGCCCTGACTCAGAGGTTCTTCTTTCCAAAGTGGATGTACAGTGTATTAAGTCGGCCTCTTTCCTACAGATCCTTCAAAGGAAAACCCTGCCCTTATTTCAGCAAAAGCTTCTGAAGGACTACAAAGGATGTATCTTCAAATTATGGCTTCTCTGTGTATTCCCCAGTTTTAGGCACGCTACATAAACACTCTTTTGTGTCATCCTCTTCTAAATTTTAGCATAAAAAAGTGGCGCGTTCAGCAACAGGAAATTATTACAAAGTTACATGTGGAATCTAATTTCGCTCAAGATCATTAAACCTTTGGGTCTTGCAGAAAACTCATGTCTCCAGCCAGTGCTCATCAGTTCAAGTCCCCTACCCGCAGCATCGGTAGCAGATCTCAGCAGAGAGCGAGGAGACAAACCCCGAGCTGTGCATTACTCTGGTCCTGAAGAAGGGCTGCATGTGAAACCGGCCCCAAAGCATCCATCCCTAGCAGCTCCGGGCAGGAGGCAGGAGGCAGAGGAGAGCCGGCCGGCACGGCAGGACAAAGCCACCTAGTGGGGACCGCGCCTCCGTCGGCAAAAGCCTGACTTGGGCTGGTGCAACGCCGCCTTGTCTTAACTACATCATCCCTGCCGCAAAACGACTTCTGTTGGGCTAAACCGCAACTGCAGAGGAGTTTTGCTCTCTCAGCCACGTCAATCAGAGGTGGATGGAGGATGGGATTTGCAGGACCCCAAGGAAGATATTTCTGACGAGTCCTGAAAGAAGATTATTACTCAGCAGATATTCCTACAACCATTCTGAGGCATGATGAATAAAAGGCATCAACTATATGCTGGGGGTTGGGGAGGGCTGTTGGGGATCTTTTTATTATTATTATTATTATTTCCATAGCTAGTTTGGAAAGTGAGGTATCACCACAGCGTCTTCTCTTCCCTTTCCTCTTCAAAACCAGCCATCAAGAAACCCTGTGGTTTTGGCATATTCAAAGATGTTAGGGGCAGCACTGCAGTTTGGCACTGGACGTCAGATAGGAAAGGATCCCAGATAAGAAAAGGGAAGAAAAAACCCAAACAACAAAAAAACAAACCCACAATCCGAAACAGTTTGGCATGCGATACACTCCAAACAGATTATGGCTGAACTCTATGATCTACAGTTGGACTTGATGACTTCACAGATCTTTTCCAACACAAATTGTCCTATGATTCAATGAAATCTGGCATCAACCCATGCAAGTTAGAAAGAAAACATCTTACAGGAAAACTGAGAGCTTAGAGGAATTATGTCTAACCATGATGTCAGTTAGCACCCAGGGTAGGCCCTTGAATTCTAATTGTTTGAACAGCTTTAATATTTTCTAGATGTATATCCCTCCTCACAATTAGCTGGTTACAATGAATTTCTTAGAGAAACTGTGTCTCTGGAGAAATTTACATTAAACATGCTAAAGTACCTTCTTGACTCCTGTCAGACAATTTCAGCATCAAGTTCCTGCATCATACCACCAGATATACATAACTTGTCATGCACAAAAATTTCAGTACCTGACTAGAACAATAATTTCCTTACTTCATTCTGACAAAATGTGTGGATGAATGTGGGTTAAACATTTTATTTCTACATTTCCAAGAAAAAGAAACTAAGAAATTGTCAAGGAGTATAAACAAACCCTGTGTCACTGTCATTTATCCTTACAGAAAATCACACATGGTGATATTTATTTTCCACTGTCCAAAAACAGTGGTAATGTCTTAATGCTTGGCAGTCACAGTATCTGATCCCCTGCTGTGTTCCTTTCCCTTTGTCCTGCCAAAGCTGAAAATTTGAAAAATGGAACATCTTTTGAAACTGTTTTGGCTAATGGCTTGTTGATGAGGAGGAAGGAATCTGTCTTTAATACTAAGCAGTACTGAAATTCTTTTCAGTTTCATGCTTTATACGTTTAGCTTTAATTGTTATGTAATTGTACAAATAAAACCTTAAAAAATTCTCATAAATGCTATAAGGAATGGAAGCCACCCTGGATATACTATACCACGCCTGGAGTAAAAAGGCTACTGTGCATCTTTTCTTCTTCTGTGACTAACTTTTGTGTAATTCCATTTAAGGACCATCACTGTAGGCAGTGTATTCCTTTGCCTCAGAGGACAAGGGAAGGATTGCCTTCATATCAGATTGGGGAAAAAAATCAAGAATTCCAAGGCTTGCACACTACCCTGCCTCACAGCAGGATCAACAGCATCATCTCGGCTGAACTCTGAATACTGAAAATAGTGCAGAGCACAATGTGTCACACTGCACCAATCTGCTTAATAAGACATGGAAAAGAAATGGGGGGTTGAGAGTGAGAGCGTTGTGGCCCACTGACATCACCCGAGTCTCCAAACTGGGTGGTGGCCATTATGACCCACACTGGTGTGGGGAGTTCACATGAAAGGGATGCCATACAAGTGTGAACTTCCCAGAGGATGGCCACACAGGGTGATGAGGAGAGGTGTACTGTGCCCTTCCTCCAGTTTTGGCCTCAGAAAGCAGCTGAGTGTGAGTACAGTGCTTCACTGAGAACAGTTGAAATGGACAATTCCACTGTCTGTAATAGCATCAGTCAAGCCCTAAATCAAGTCAAGAAGAAGCAAGAAATGTGAGAAAATTGGAGGACTTGATGAAAATGGGAAAATAAAGGACATCAGCCAGAGCAGACTGTGTCTTGATAAAATCTAGAGATGTAGAAGGTAAAATCGGTGAGAATACTCCACTGTATTGCAGGCCCAGATACAGCCAAACACTTTGGAAGGAGATCAGTTTCTTACTTTATACCTTCAGATTCTATAGATAAGAAGGATTAAGGAAAGGAAGATGCAAGAAAAAGAAAATTAACCCATTTCCTAGTGGAGCTGTTTGGCATGGTTCTTATGGAAGGACTGCAATATGTTACTATTTATGTGCCTCCAGAAAAATGAACACAATGTAATGCCAATACTATAACTCTGTGTGAATACAGTTAAAAGTACTAAACCTAGGCAAAAGGACATACCATTGCCCCCAAAATGTAATTTAAACATGCACCAACATAAATACTACACTACTACTGCACGCTTTAAAGCAAATCTGAAAGGAAAAGCCTTTTGTCAGTGAAAACTAGGGTTTAACACAGTGTTTTCACCAGCAAACCAGCTGTAACAATAAATGAAAGAAGTACATTTTTTCCTCAGCAATAATATGCTTCAAAGGTGCAGTTAGACTGGATACCTGCAGTTTGCTGGTATTAAAGAAGGGTGGCCTCTGACCCTCTGCTTCATAATTCACCACAAGCATGCAGGTATCCAGTGTAAGTGGCCATCATTTCACATGGTATTACTCACTTGCAAGTATAAATCACTACGGCTGGCCCTGTATCCCTGTCTGGGCCCGGGTACCCAGCTAAGCAGGAGGGAGGGTGGGAAGAGACAGTACCCTTTCATTTCCTGAGGGCTGGAGCTTTCCAGGGAGGCACTGCCTCCCTCCAGTTTCCTCACAGATGAGCTGGTATCTACCTCCGTTCACCAAATTACTGGCAGTTTCTTTCAGACTGCCTCACTGGAGGCAGACTTTCCGGGGGACGAAACACAGATGCACTTTCCCGTCGGGTGCCTTCTTTTTATTTACTTTCTTATTCTAAATACTCTTTGCAGAGAGCGGGACCAAGCTCAGCCCGCTGACCCAAGGCTGTCACCGGGTCCCGGACGCTCGAGCCCCTCTCTCGCAGGGCTTGAAGCCTCTCGCAGTCCCTCGCCGTTCCCCCCGCGGTGCCGAGGAGGCGAGCGGAGCCCGGCCGGCGGCAGCGGCTCTGCTCCCGCACCAGCGCAGGAGCTGCCCCGCCGTCCGTGACTCCCGGCCGGGGCTCAGGCACACCGCGCCACAGCCCCTCTGCCGAACATGTTGCTCGAGAGCGAGCCTGGGCGCCCCGAAGTGGGTCAGGGGGCCCGCCCCGCCTGCAGAGAAGCTTTCGGGTTATTTTTAAGAGGCGAGTGGGGGGGCGGATTGAGGGAGGTGGGTTTGATTTTCCCTGTCTTCTACTATAGGTATGAATGAATTAAATTTCCGTGTCAGGTATGAGAAGGGTAGGAGAATATTGCGTGTAGATAAACCTTGCCACCGTCTGCCCCTGAGAGACCCCCATATACAATGTAGAGATGATGAATAGGCGCGAGGAGAGGAGATCGAAGTTCAGTCCGCACCGGCTCCACTCTCTCCTACAAAACTATAGGGCAATTAATTGTGGCTTGTCCCCTCATCCTTCATCTCCTGGTGGCACATATCGATGGAGATTACTGCTGATGGACCATTTTATCACCCTAAATAAACAGTCACCACCTCCCTAACCTCAATCTAATGTATGGCTATCTGCTATGTTTAAGGGTGCCGGGTAACTAATGATGTAAAATAGCTAAATCATACAGGTTACCAGCAGTCCAGCGGAAAAAAAAAAAAAAAAAAAAAAAAGAGTCAGAATATTTTCCACACCGATCTACTTCACAGCATGTTATATATACACTGTCTCCCCATAAATTGAATGGGAAAAGGCGTGCAAAGTGCTTGGTCGCGTGACACTTCAGTTTTACACAGCGTATTTTTTACAGTGGCAGGTCGGTGCTTTCTGGTGGAGGTGGAGGAGTCTCAGAGTACTCAGTGCGGAAGCGTCTCCCAAGAAGAAAGGGGCAAGCCTCCAAGGGAACAAGCCGGTCCCACAGCCCCCGGACTCACCCTAGATCTCCTCCTGGCCACCCGAGCTCCCCTCCCCCAGCGCCCAGAAATACCCTTGTCCTTCCAGATTCAAGGCTGGGAAGCAAACGGTCCCCAGCCGCCTGACACATTATCAGGGCTTTAACATAATCCCCTTTACTTCCCTGGGAGTAAAGACTGCTGGGCTCTAATTAGGGTTTTGTCTCTTGATTGCTTTTTTTATTATTATTTTTCCCTAGCTAACCCCCTTTCAATTTAAAACAATTACATACAGACGCTTAACCCACAGCTCCTAGGCGGCCCTCGCCCCCCTCCCTCGCCCAAGACCGTGCCATATCCATTGATATTTGACGATCAAGGCGTGTGTCTACTGGGAAACCGCCGCCCATCCATCTTCCCGTGGCGGCCGCCCGGCGCCGGGCCGGGCCGGGCCGGGCCGGGTGCTGGGGAGCGGGGCCGGGCCGGGACAGCCTCGGCAGCCGATCGGGCTCCCCCAGAGGGCCCGGCCACCGCCCCTGCCCCGCCGCGGCCCCGCAGAGCGGCCGGGGCGTAGGAGAAGTCCGCCGGCGCCTCTCCAGAGCGTGTGGGACCTGCCGGGGAACGGGGACACGCGGGGTGCCCCGGAGAATAAGGGGATGCTCGGAATAGAGAGAGAGAGTAATGTCTGGGAAAGTAGGTGAGACTGGGCATTCGCTCGGTTGGTGGAGGAGGTACAGCTAAGATTAGAGCCCGAGAAGCAGACGGAGGCCTGCTGGGCCGGGCAGAGGAGCAGATCGACGCCCCCGCTCCAGGGAGGGGATTAGTCCCTGCGGTCCGGTGTCTGTGCCGGGCTGGGCAGAGCCCTCCGGTCTCGGAGTCTCGGTGAAGCTGTTCGGAGATGGAAATGCAGCAAGCAAGTACAACTCAAACTAAAGTAGACGGCTCCTCATCTTACCCACTGCCCCCACCTCTTTCCCCTCAAACGGGCAGTGAGGGTGGGAGTGATACGAAACGGGGGCTGAAGGTGGGAGTCAAGGCGGCTGGAAATCCCGCCTGCCCACGGACCGCTAGCGTGACCCCGGCGGCGCTCGGGGAGCCGCGGAGGGGCAGCCAGGCCCGTGCCCTGCAGCTTGTTCCTGTGATCGTGTGAGGGCTTGGAGTGCGTGGCACGGCACAGTTGCGGCACTCCTTCAATGACAGTTTACTTTTTTCTTTATTTTTTTTAAGCACGAGTTGCCCAAAGCAACTGAGCTTGGTCCCAGAAGACTGAAACACTCCCGTTGAAATTTTCGCTCAGAGGCAACTAATAACCGCTGGAGCGAAAGCCGCCCAGTAAACAAGTAAATTATAAGAATGTTTAGATCTAACTGAAGAAAAACAAACAAACAAACAAAAAAAAAAGCGAGATGGCGCTGGCTGCCCCCTGACCGTCCTTCCGACGGCGACGGCTGCCCCGTCAGAGCCGGACGCAATTAACAAGCGTCCCTTCCGCAATCGACCTGTTTGCTTTCCCGAATCCACCTTTAATATCGCGCTCGGGAAGAAATTATTCAGTCTTCGCCTCCGACTCTGCGGGGTGCTGTTATTCCACTCACTCCTTAAAAATGTTCCCCCCCTAAACCGCTTTTTAATATTCCATTCTCCTTTTAAAACCTTTGCTCTTTAGATTTACAGAGCGGCTCCGAGAAGCAAAACATGTATTTTCTGAATGGTTCGGTTGTCCATTAGAAGTGCATTTCGGATTCCATTTTCTGCATGTAATTTATAAGATCACGTTTTCTTCACCCGAGAACACAAAATACACGAACAGGTTTCACTACAGGGTAAAACTAAGCATGAGGAAGTCGCTCAAAATAAAGTCGACATCCCATACAGAAAGCTCAGCAATGGTAAGAAGGCGGGAAAAATCTCCACCAAACTCCTACTCAACTTTCCTCCCGCACATATGCACAGCGCTGAAGACTGTGCTAGCATCCACGCAGTTTAATTAATACATTACAGGGTGTCATGGAAACTTTCAAAACAAGCTCCTCGTCTGAAATTTAACTAAACGAATCTGCGTTTTGCCTGGGCATGTGTTTCAGGATTGCTGGTTTGGGGTATCGTTTGTCTGTTCAACAGCCTTCCTTAAACAGACATTTGGGGAGTGGTGGTTGAGAAGGACAACAAAAATAAAGAGACTTAAGAAACCTTAGTATATAAGGGAGTATTTGGGGGGGGGGGGGGGGGAAGTCCATGGGCCAGAGCCATGTATTTTAAGAGGGAGAGATCCGTGTGCTCTGAATGTTAGTTATAAAACTGATGAACTAATGGGAGTTTGTATAGTTCTTTTCATCCCGTCAATGTCCTCGGGTGCATCATATTGATAGATACAGGGGGGAAAACGGCAGAACCAGTTTCTAAAATTACAAACCTCTCATCCATACAGATGTTTAATAATAGCGGTGCCCCCTCTCACCCCCCAAAAAACCAACCCAACTTTATAATTTGCAACAGGGATAAACTCTTTATAATCACCAAGTGCTAAATTAATTCTGACACTCAAGCAGACATTTCCTCCAGAAAATCGCCTTTTCTCTTTAAACGACCATGTAATGCTTTTCCGTGGGGGCGAAAACAAAAACCAGCGAGGTGTTAACGAGGTCTGAAAGGAAACGATACTCCGAGATAAGAAAGAGGAAAACTTTGCTCTAGACCATCTGATGAAAACTGCAACTTTTCCCCTGCTCAGAGGACTACTTGATTTCTGGGTATTCAGCGAAGCCTGAGTTTTCCAGGCAGGAATGGAGTGGGACATACAATGCGAAAAAAGACCAGCTTTGTAGCTAGTTGCCCTGAACCTTTGCTGAATCCATTCTCCTAAGCAGCCTTCTGAAAGAAATCTACCCCCACCACAGCCTTTCCGGTGAAGCGTGCCTTCCAGGGAAGGACCTGGGTTTCAGACAAGGAGAACTGCTACAGAAGATTTGCCGCCCGTCTCCTGAAACAACTGGTAACAACGCAAAAACTAAAGAAAGGGAAGGGAGAGACGGAGGATGCTCCTCGTGAAGTGAGAGCGGTGCAGGCACCAATTGCGGTCCCCCAGCCTGGAGCGTTCCCGGGCTGGCCCCGTGCGCGGAGAAGCGGAGGGTAAGGGGTGGAGGAGTGTGAGAAGGGGCACGATACGTACGGTTGTTGGGGTCACTGGTGTGCTGGTTCAGGGGGATGATCTCCATGCGCTGCTGCCCGTACAGGTAGTAGTCCAGCTCCTCGGCCGTGCAGCGATAGCGGGCGGCGCCACGGTCGCCGCATTTGCCGCTGCCGGCTCCGCACAAATCCTTGCCCTGCAGGGAAGCGGGCGCTCCCCCGGCCGGGAGCTCCGAGCTCTGCAGCGGGCCGAAGACCGGGAGCTGGGTCACAGGCAGGGAGGTCAGACCAGCCAGAGAAGCGGCCGCGGCAGCGACGCAGGACGAGGTGGAGGAGGAAGACGGAGTGGACGAGGAAGAGGAGGAGGAGGCAGAGGAGAGGGAGGTCGGGCGCTGGCGGAGGCTGTCAGCCGGGGGCTCGGCTCTCTCGGGTGGCTGGAGCTGGGCGAGGGGCCCGCTGCTTTTGAGCTGGCTGCTCTGCGGGAAAAGCTGCTGCCAGTGCTGCAGATAGGCGGGATCCACCTTCAGGAACGCGGATCCGCCGGGGTCTCCGGGCTTCAGCATCTCTCTGCCTGTGGAGCGGGGAGGAAGGGGACAGAAGACTTGAGACCCCCGCCCCGCCCCGGCAGGGCCGCCCCGACCCCGCGGTCGGACACACGCTCGGACACACTGGGCCAAGCGTGGGCTCTGCGCCCGCGGCTGTGCGGGATAGGCGGCGGGACCCTGCACCCGTCGCTCCCCCTGCCCGTGGCCAGGCTCGTCAGGAGAAAACCTCGTCCCGAAAAGCCCAAGAACGAGAAACGTGGTGGTCGTGGCTACAAGGCTGTCCCCCGGTGTCGGCCCCAGAGCACGGGCAGGACGCGGGCGATGGCGGACAGCCCCTCACGCCGGCCCGTGTCCGGAGAGCACCCCCCGCCGCCCCGCAGGACTCACAGCTCACCACGTCCCCAGTGCACGCACTGTCTTCCCTTTTCACTCCTTTCCCTCTCTCCGCGGAAGCAATCGACTCTCCGCTGACAACAGGGAGGAGGAGGAGGAGGCGGAGGAAAGTTCAGTCACACGCACACACGCGCGCGGGTCTCTCTTCTCTCCGGCCGCTGCTGTTTTCCACTCGGGCGTTCACAGGCGGAGGGCGCGGGCCGGCAGTGCCCTGCCCCCCGGTGAAGGTGCCCCGCTGTGCCGGACAAGTCGGAGAGGCCCCGGCCCGGGTCTGCCTTACCTGAGCGGGGGAGCGCTGCTGCGCGGGCGGCGTGCAGAGGTGTCGGCTGCCCCAGGAGCCTTCGAGCCGGGCAACGGCCAGGAGCAAAGACTTCTCTGGTCTTTGTCCACGCGGGAGCGGGGTGATCCTCCTCTAGTTGCCGGGGACCGGCGGGCCGGCTAGCTGCGAGCCGCCGGGCTCCCTCTGCTGTGGCTGCGCATCGCAGTCGCGGCCGGGCGCTCGGCTCGGCTCTGGCAGGCTCTGGACGAGACACGTGGGTTTTACGACAGCGCAAAATACAAGTGTGTGTGGTGTGTACGAGGAGGGGAGGGATCGGGAAGTTACCAGCAAGTCTGGATGCAGAGCTCTTTTTTTGGCAACTTCCCCCACTTTGTTCCTTGCTCAACTTTTAAAGGTGCCCCTTTCTACCCTTCCCTCCTCCTTCCCTCCCTCCCACCCCCCCAGCCTTCTACCTCTCTCCCTCTCTCTCTCTCTCCAGTTTCCCTCCCTCTCTTTCTCTCTCCCTCTTTTCTCCCCCAGTTCCGAAGCACAATCGTCCCGAAAAGAGCTGGGCTTTTGGCTTTTCCCTTGACGGAGGGGAGTGGTGGTCCGGCGCTCTCCCGAGCGGGATCCGCGCAGCTGCGCCGACCCCAGAGCCGAGCTGCTGGAGCTCCGGACCCCGCCTCGCACACAGCCACCCTCCCGTTAGCCGTGCTCTTGTCTCACTTTTTGCCTCTCGGGGGTTTGGGTGGATTTTAGACACTTACCCGACCTGTCCTGATACTGCCTCAGGTAGTTCTCTTAAGATGTATCCTGAATGACATGCCTTCCTTTCCCCTCGGCTACCTGAGACCAGTCCCAGCACAGAGGGAACCCACCGCCCCAGTTTCTCCTTCCTCAGAGCTCGCATCCTCGAGCACTAGCACGTCTCACTTCTGCTCTTTGTACTCGGTTACAGCGCACTGCAAGAAGTATGCCAGAGGGAGATGCAACCTGTGGCGAGAAACTTCTCATCTCTAGTGACTTTTCGTCCCCACTCTGCTTAGAAATTTGCGTTTCCCGCCCCGCTGCTCAGTTGTTGAGCTCACGTATCAGTGAGTATTTAACAGGTTTGGGGGTTTTTTTTCAGTTTCTTTCCTACACCGTATGAAAAACCAGACGAAAACTATAATCTCTTAGGAATATCGCACGTACATGGTACGCCTTGCATTTAGGACAAAATGCACTAACTTTACCTTACCGAAACATCTCTCTAGTGTCAGAAGAGCCCTCGTAGACAGGTGTTATGCTGACACCGAATGCACAATTGCCTACAAACATAACGTGTGAGCGTGTAAAATGTTTTCACCATTCTCCCCACACTGTTTCTAGTTTGTTTCTTTCCCACCCTTCATTCTCTCAGAGCCTGGGAAAGCTGCTGCTGTTTAGACTTTGTCTGTGTCTAAGGCAGGACATTTTAACACAAATTTGAACAGGGCTGGGGCAAAAATTGTTTTGACTGGAGTCATTTTGACAAGGTCATCCGTCATCTGCTGTATAGATTGATAACACCTAAATTAAAGGCAAACAGGAGTAGGAACACCCCCAGCACCCATTTTTAGGGATTATAAAGTTGGACATAAAAACCTTCTTTAAGTCTTTGATCAATTCCATTATGCAATATGTAATAATTTTCATCCCTCTAGCTCTATTAATCCTCTTTCTGAAGTTCTGCAGCGCTACCGCTCAGCTGGGAGACAGAGGTGCAGGCTGGGAGTCTGTTCGCACCGTCGCTGGCGGTCGGTGTTGGGTGCACTGACAGTGGGCGCGCTTGGTTTTCTCCGTTTTCATTCATTAATACAATGTTTCGTCCCTATCCAACTCCCTCCTGGTCACAGTTTTATTCCGCCCCATCCGACTATTTCTATTAGTATTTTTTTTTTTTTTTAACGTGCACATCTGTGCTATGGTTGTTTTCCTTAATGGATTTCTTTCTAAAACACTGAATTGCTTTTAGTGGTAGCAATCTCAAAAATTCGTTTTGCCCTAGAAAAATGTGATGAAGCAGAGGAAAGATCCTAACTAATGGACTTAAGTACATTGTCAATACCTGCATTTGCTTCGAGTTGTTAACAGAAGTATTCCATGAAGGTTCATATTCAGGAGTACTTCAATCTGTTGCTTTTGGAATTTTTTTAACAGACAGAAAAGTAGCGCTTTGAGCGACCAAGGTGGCAGAATAAAATTTATGGACTCCCTTGACACTCCGGGACACTGAGGAACTGGAGGCGAGGAAGAAAGGAGGCTCGCCGTGCTTGCCGGTCCTGGGGCCGTGCGGACGGCAGGGAGGGAGCGGGTCCCCTCAGCAGCCAGGTCCCGCGCCCCCGGCTCTGCCCGCTGGTCCGATCGGTCACTCACTCGGCCGGGGGCGGCGGGGGCCGACGGGCTCACTGCGCCTTGTCATTTGGCTTTTGTCCTTAGCTACAAGAAGCGCCGCTGCGCCGGGTCCACTCGACCCAGGGTGGGAATGGAGGAGAGCACACGCGGGGAATGTCGGTGAGCCGCGGGTCAGCGCCGGTGCCGAGCGGAGGGAGGGGAGAGCGGGGCTCTCTGAGCCGGCCCAGGGGAAAGGCAGCGGCGTGTCTCGCCAGGGCAGAGGACGGCTTCTCGCCCAGCCATCGCCGCTCCTTTGCTCCCTCGGGAAGAGCCGAGCAGGCAGATTCGCCAGCAGGGCTCCCAGCCCTGAACCTGCACCTCCCCGGGATGGCTTTAGCCAACCCTGACCTCTGGTCTCGCTTCCCCAGGCAGAGCGGTTTGTGCGCGTCCCTCCTGCCTCTCCCGAGTTGGTCTATTTGCTGGTGTTTCTTGGGTTTGCTTTTGTTGTGAGGTTTGGGTTTTCTTAAAATAATTTTTAAAATTATTTTATTTCTTTGCTTCTGGACGTAAAGATGAGAGGGAAAAAAGAAAAAAAGGCTTTAACTACTGCCATCTCCTTCCTCCTCTTTCAGACTTTTTCATTATTTAGAGGACGAGTGCTGAAACAAATCACATTGACTGTTTAGAAGGCGATCAAACCTTTATAAAAATCCATCGTCTACGAATCGATTGGTGAATATTTGCTAGGAATTTGTTCAAAAGAAATAAATAAGGAGGGTAAGTGTATTAAATGCAAAGGGGGAACACGGTGGTGTTTTTCTTCATTGATTAATGACCTCTAAAATAAAACAAGTGGGAAGAGGAGCCAAGATCGATAAATTAACTACCCAAATTCATCATTTTCCCTGCGATTTTTTTTTTCCTTTTAGGGTGTTTGGTTGGGTTTTCTGGTTTGTGTTGGTGGTTTTTTATTATTATTATTATTATTTTTTGTTTGTTTGGTTAGTTTGGTTTTGTTTTGTAAACAACACTTAGGAAGAATGCCCTTCTCTTTGGAAACTCGAAGGCTTTATTCTAGGCTTGGGTTAGAAAAGGGAGCTAAACCCCTTTTAGCAAGGGATTGAATCGGGGACACCCTATCTGATTTCGTTTGACACACAATTAAAAAGTTTGCCTTTCATATTAATTAATTCTCCTGATCTGGGCAAGACAAAAAGACAAATGGTCGGTTACCTCTGACAGGAGTCCGATAAAGGATTCAGCAGCTTTCCTTCTTGCCCTAGGCATCTCCTCATTCCAGTTTTAAGGTCACGAGCGGCCGAGTTAATAATTCATTAATATAGACATTTATTCAGATGGGATTCACGGGGATTCGCGCTCTCCTACATCTCACCGTTCGGATTCCAGTTCCCCTCGAAGAGGAGGGGGAGGAGAAGGGATAGAGGACGGCTCTACACAATGGCTCTACACGGACCTGTCTCTACACACGTGTTTAAAACGTGGTGCTTGCTCCCAACGCGAGCTGCGCCGGGGCAGACGAGCCCCGCTCAGGAGGGCGCCGCTCCCCAGGCCCAAGCAGAGGCCGAGGGCAGGGCGGCCTGGAGGCACCCGCCGCCTTCCGAGCCCTTCCTGAGCTGAAGCTACGCACTGCCCTCCCCCTTCTGCTTCCCCGGAATCAGCAAGCGGCCGAAGCGCGGCAAGAGTCCATGAAATTGCCCGAAAAAGCCGCTGGCAACGCGCCCCGGGGCCGGGCACGGGGTGCAGCCCAGAGAGAGAGGGGCTGTGCGGGAGCGGCAGCGACCGCGGAGCTGGGGGTGGCTGCGGGGGTGTCAGCGGGGGTGTCATCGGGGGTCACTGCCGAGGGTCGCTGCCGAGGGTGGCTCCCGGCGGACCCGCGGGCGATGCAGAGGCCGGGAGGAGCCCCCGGGGGGCGCCACTGGGGAAGTGCTGCCGCCACTGTCAGAGCCCCCGGACCCCGGGGTGTCCCTCCGAGCGGGTCGGGAGGGGCGCC